TTGGGAAGCTGAGGCAGAAGGATCGCTTGAACCCAGGAGTATGAGGCTGCACTCCAGCCCGGATCACAGAGTGAGACTCCAACTCTAAAAATAAAAAATAAAATCAAAATGGGCAAAGGATCCAAATACATCTTGCTCCAAAGAAGATGTACAAATGATCAATAACACATGAAAAGATGCTTAACAATATGAGTCATTAGGGAAATGCAAATCAAAACCACAAAGAGATACAACTTCACACCTACTGGGATGCCTAAAACTTTTTAAAAGACAGTAGCAAGTGTTGACAAGGATGTAGAGAAATTGAAACTCTCATATATTGCTGGTGGGAATGTGAAATGGGGCAGCTGCTTCAGAAAAGTTTGGCAGTTCTTCAAAATATGTTTTGTTTTGTTTTTTAAGACTCCGTCTTAAACAAAACAAAACAGCCTGGGCAACAGGCTGGAGGTGCAATCTTGGCTCACTACAACCTCTGCCTCCCAGGTTCAAGTGATTCTCCTGCCTCGGCCTCCTGAGTTGCTGGGATTACATGTGTGTGCCACCACACCCAGTTAATTTTTGTATTTTTAGTAGAGACAGGGTTTCAACATGTTGGCCAGGCTGATCTTGAACTCCTGACCTCAAGTGATCCACCCACCTTGGCCTCCCAAAGTGCTGGGATTACAGGCGTGAGCCACCGCACCAGTTCCTCAAAGTATGGTTTTTTTACTTTTTTTTTTTAGAGACCTTTTTTTACTTTTTTTACTTTTTTTTTTAGAAACGAGAGTCTTACTATGTTGCTCAGGCTGGTTGTAAATTCCTGGGCTCAAGCAATCCTCCCACCTCACCCTTCCCAAAGGGCTGGGATTACAGGCATGAGTCACCATGCGCAGCCCCAAAATGTTAAAACACAGAGTTACCATATGACCCAGAAGTTTTACTCCTAATTATATACTCAAGATAAATTAAAGCATTTCCACAGAAAATCATGTACACACATGTTAATAGCAGCATTATTTGCAATAGGCAAAAAGTGGAAATAAGACAAATGTCCAATCAACAGACAAATGGATAAACCAAATGTGGTCTATCCATATAATGGAACGTTAGTTGGCCATGAAAAGGCATGAAACGGCCAGGCACGGTGGCTCACACCTGTAATCCCAGCACTTTGGGAGGCTGAGGTGGGTGGATCTCTTGAGGTCAGAGTTCGAGACTGGCCAACATGGTGAAACCCCATCTCTACCAAAAATACAAAACAATTAACCAGATATGGTGACAGGCATCTGTAATCCCAGCTACTCAGGAGGCTGAGGCAGGAGAATCGCTTGAACCTGGGAGGCGGAGGTTACAGGGAGCTGAGATCGTGCCACTGCACTCCAGCCTGGGCCACAGAGCGAGACTCCATCTCAAAAAAGGAGTGAAACACTGACATTTGCTACAACGTGGATATACCTCCAAAGCATCCTGTTAAGTGAAAGCAGGGAGACACAAACAGTCACGTACTGTATGATTGCACTTATGTGAAATATCCACAAAGATGAATCCATGGAGACACAGGCAGATTGCCGACTGCCAGAGGCCAAGGGCTAAGGAAAATGGGGAGGAACTGCATAGTGACTATGGGGTGATGAAAATGTTCTGGAATTCACCTGAACAAGAAACAGTAAAAAACAACAAAAAGGAAGGAAATGGTACAGGTGGTAGCTGTATGACATTGTGAATGTACTAGTGCCTCTACAAAATGATTAACGTGACGTGCACTTCACCTCATAAGATACTTTTTGAAAAAGAAGCCGGGTGCAGTGGTTCACGCCTGTAATCCCAGCACTATGGGAGGCGGAGGCGGGCGGATCACAAGGTCAAGAGATCAAGACCATCCTGGCAAACATGGTGAAACCTCGTCTCTACTAAAAGTACAAAAATTAGCCGGGCATGGTGGCAGGCGCTTGTAGTCCCAGCTACTCAGGAGGCTGAGGCAGGAGAATTGCTTGAACCCAGGAGGCGGAGGTTGCTGTAAGTCGAGATCGTGCCACTGCACTCCAGCCTGGCGACAGAGCGAGACTCCATCTCAAAAAAAAAACAAAAAAAACAAAAAAAAAACAAAGTCTATCCTTGCCTACTAACAAGGAAACTTAAAAAAAGAAGAAGAAAAGGCTGGGCATGGTGGCTCATGCCTGTAATGCCAGCACTTTGGGAGGCTGAGGCAGGGGGATTGCTTGAACCCAGGAGTTCAAGACCAGTCTGGGCAACATGATGAGACCTCATCTCTACAAAATATTAAAAATTAGCCGGATCAGGCGCCATGGCTCATGCCTATAATCCTAGCACTTTGGGAGGGCGAGGCAGATGGATCACTTGAGCTTAGGGGTTTGAGACCAGCCTGGGCAACATGGTGAAACCTCGTCTCTATATAAAAATATTTTTTAAAATTAGCAGGGCATGGTGGCGGGTGCCTGTAATCCCAGCTACTTGGGAGGCTGAGGCACGACAGAACCCAGGAGGCAGAGGCTGCAGTGAGCTGAGATCACACCACTGCACTCAAGCCCGGGTGACAGAGCAAGACTCCATCTCAAAAAAAAAAATGAGCCAGATGTGGTAGTGTATGCTTGCGGTGTATGCCCAGCTACTTTGGAGGCTGAGATGGGAGGATTACCTGAGTGCAGGAGATTGAGGCTGCAGTGAGCCGTGATCATACCACTGCACTCCAACATGGGCAAAAGA